GGGCTCTCATCGCTTTCATCCCTTAAACTGCCTCAATTTGGACTCTGGAGAAGTGGCCCAGGAATCCCCTATACACAGAAACACTGTAGTCTTCCTGGGGCAGAGGCCTGTGGGCAGCATCTTTTCATGCCTTGGATCGCTCTCTGCCTCAACCAGGGCGAGGGCTTTTTCGCCCCTCGCCCCAACCGGGTGGAACGTGCTCCCACACCCGAGATCAGGGCCCTGCGGGACCTATTACCATTTCCGCAGGGCCTGTAAAGCGGAGCTGTTCCGCCAGGCTTTCGGTTGAGGCAGTGGACGCTCAGCCATTCTGGCCTCCCCTGTTCACAGGCCCCAGAGAGCCAGTTTTATACAGTGGTTAAGTGCGCGGACTCTAATCTGGGAGAACCGGGTTTGATCCCCCACTCCTCCACTTGCACCTGGCTGGAGGACCTTGGGCAAGCCGTAGTTCTGATAAGAGCTGTCCTTGAAAAAGAGCAGTTTCTGTCAAGAGCTCTCTCAGCCCCACCCACCTCGCAGGGTGTCTGTTGTGGGGAGGGAAAGGGAAAGGAGTTTGTAAGCTGCTCTGAGACTCCTTCGGGTAGTGAAGGGCGGGGTATAAATTGGTGTGGTGGTCTAATCCAGGAGAACCAGGTTTGATTCCCCACTCCTCCACTTGCAGCCTGCTGGGTGTCCTTGGCTCAGTCACAAGTTACTTTCAGAGCTGTTCTCTCAAGGGCAGTTCTGGAGAGAGCTCTCTCAGCCCCACCTGCCTCGTAGGGCATCTGTCTGTTGTGGGGAGGGGAAGAAGTTTGTAAGCCGCTCTGAGACTTTGAGTGAAGGGCAGGGGGTATAAATCCAATCTTCTCTTCTTCCATCCTGCTTAAGTCCCCAACCCTCCACAGTCTCCACCCCGAAATCTCCAGGAGTTTCCCAACCTGGAGTCAGATACCCATACCTCTTCCCCCAAAGCAGAAGTATTTCCACCCCACCCCACCCCCCGGTCTCCAAATTACCTTCATGTCCGCGATCGACTCCAGCTTCTGCTGCTCCTTGGGTTTCCGCCGCTGGAAGTCTTCCATCAGGTTCTTGATATTGCTGCCGATCTCGGCGAAGTTCAGGTACATGTTCTACAAATGGGAAAGGGGACAGTTTGAAGAGGACAACTCGGCTGGTAAACGTCAGCGCTTAACGAGTCAGGGGAACGTTCTGTGAGACGCCGCAACGGCCTTACTGTGACCAGGACGTATTGGCTTGAGGCCACTCAAACCCTCCAGATGACAAACGCCTTTGTGGAAAAAACAGCAGGGGCCTGGAGACGGTTTTAAGGCACAGCGACAGCAAGGCTGGGGTCCCCGATCTTTTTTAAACCTGCGGCCACCTTTGGGATTCTGACACCACAGGCCGGTGGGCCCAGCCACAAAATGGCGGCCATAGCTTACCTTTTGCCACACAGGGACAATCCTTGTGTTGTGGGGGCAGCTTAAAATCTGCACAGCTAATCAGATCTCCAATAGCCAGCGTCCGACATACCTGCGGGACCACCTTTCCCCATATATACCCCAGCAAGAACTACGGTCAGGAACACAACATTGACTGACCGTTCCTGGCCCTAAGGACGCCAGGCTGGCGGCCACCAGGGCCAGGGCCTTTTCAGTGGCGGCTCCACACTGGTGGAATGAGCTCCCGAAAGAGATCAGGGCCCCGCGGGACCTTTTGCAGTTCCGCAGGGCCTGCAAGATGGAGCTCTTCCGCCAGGCTTTTGAGAAGGAGCTGCCACTCCTCCACCACCAACATCTGTGGTTTTGGGTCGGCTCTAGAGATGTGAAGGCCCGGAAAAAAAACGGAAAAATTCGGGGGAAAAAACGTTTTTTTCCCGTTTTTTTCCCGTTTTTTTCCCTGAAGCTTTTTTGTTTTTTTCCGAAAAATTGGAAAAATTGAAAAAAGAAAAGAAAAGAAAAGAAATTGATTATGGAATGTTTTATTTTAACATGATAAATAAAATATTTTAAGACAAGGTGTTCAAATATTTTCCAAATCATTTCTAAAATATATAATGGTATCAGATTGATCTAATTTCTGTGCACTGAGGACAAGCAAGTCCTAGGTTACAAACTGAACTCTCCAATGCAAGAACAAGATGCATTTCTTCCTTTAGGAGGTACTATTGTCACAAGAAAAGAAAAAGGTTTCAGTTTTGTTTTTGCATGTGGATGGGTATTCTATTTGTAATAATTGTTTGGATACACTATATACTAAAGTAACAGAATGACTGTCAATCTAGAAAAGACAAAAGAAATGCTAATGTAGCATTTTTTTCAATTTTTCCGAAAATTTATGTTTTTTTCCGAAAAAAACCGGAAAAAACCCGGGGTTTTTTCCCGAGCTTCAAAATTTCCTGAAATTTTACATCTCTAGTCGGCTCTGGTCCTGGGGAGGGTTTGCGTTATATCACTGTACCAAGCTGAAGATCACCGATGCCAATGAAAATTGTTGGTACGCCATCTGAATCATTAAAAGATTACCATCAAAAGAGTACCATCACTAGCACTTTAATGGTTAATTGTTGGACTGTTTCTAATGCTTAATGTTGTTGTTGTAAGTTGTTTACATTATGTACGTGGTTTTTATGGTACAGGGTACCAATTACTGTAAGCCGCCCAGAGCCTGCTTGCGGGGATGGCGGGGCAGAAATCAAAATAATAGACAGACAGACAGACAGACAGACAGACAGACAGACAGACAGACAGACAGACAGACAGACAGACAGACAGACAGACAGACAGACAGACAGACAGACAGACAGACAGACAGACAGACAGACAGACAGACAGACAGACAGACAGACAGACAGACCCTTCCCCTCCCCACAACAGACACCCTGTGAGGTGGGTGGGGCTGAGAGAGCTCTGACACAAACAGCTCTTTTTCAAGGACAGCTGTGCCAGAGCTTGTGACTGACCCAAGGTCACATCAGCAGGTGCAAATGGAGGAATGGGGAATCAAACCCGGTTCTCCCAGATTAGAGTCCGCACACTTAACCACTACACCAAACTGGCTAGATGATAGATAGATAGATAGATAGATAGATAGATAGATAGATAGATAGACAGACAGACAGACAGACAGACAGACAGACAGACAGACAGACAGACGATAGATGATAATTAGAAGCCTTTTTGAGCAAGACTCCCTCCCAATGGGCGCACCACACTTTCTAGAAAACACTCGGTGGGTGACATTAGCGACATGAGTGGGCGCCAGGTTGGGGATCTCTGAGCCAGGCCGCATTCTTCTGAATACAACCTCCAGCACCAAGGACAGGATAAAACCCCACCCCCGAGCTGGAGTTTAGAGTGAGGAGGACCAGATAATGGAACTGAAAAAGGAATGCAAACTCATGTCTTATTCAGGAAAACACGAGATCCTCCAAGCGATAGAGAAGTCTGAAAGAAAACACATTGGGGTGGGTGGGTGGGAGTTGCTGAAGCAACAGGGACAAATGAGTGACAAAAAGGACAGTGCTACAGTAAAATCCAGTTGGAAAGTGGGTTGAAAGGGGATTGAAAGCAGATTATTTATTGTATATGCGGCCACAGCCAATGAGAAGGTGTGGGGGGAGGTATTTGTGAAATTCCTGCCTTGTGCAGGGGGGTTGGACTAGATGACCCTGGCGCCTGGCCATCCCTTCCAACTCTGATTCCATGAGACCTTCCCCTTCAGCAGACGCCAGTGGACATGGATCTTGTGTCCAACACTGAGCCTGGCAGGAGCAATTTCCTGCCTGCATTCCAGGCCATAGTATCGGGCTAGGTTCTGAAAGCCAACGAGCCAAAAACCACTGTGGTAAAATTAACAACGACACATTTAATAATTCTATGAGCATCAGTTTGTGAAGCTATTAATCTTACAATATGGTAAAAGAATTCAAGCATAGGGAAAGTCTATTCCACATCACCGCCTGCCTGGTCCTTTTTAACTGGAAATGCCGGGGATTGAACCTGGGACCTTCTGCACGCCAAGCAGAGGCTCTGCCACTGAGCCACGGCCCCTCTTTACAGCTCTCCAGGGTCTCAGGCAGAGGTCTTTCCTATCACCTCCTGCCTGGTCCTTTTTAACTGGAGATGCCGGGATTGAACCTGGGACCTTCTGCATGTCAAGCAGAGGCTCTGCCACTGAGCCACAGCCCCTCTCTACAGCTCTCCAGGGTCTCAGACTGAGGTCTTTCCCGTCACCTCCTGCCTGGTCCTTTTTAGCTGGAGATGCTGGGGATTGAACCTGGGACCTTCTGCATGCCAAGCAGAGGCTCTGCCACTGAGCCACAACCCCTCTTTACAACTCTCCAGGGTCACACATTAAAGGTCTTTCCCATCACCTCCTGCCTGGTCCTTTTTAACTGGAGATGCCAGGGATCGAATCTCATTTCACCAATCTTCCTCATGAGTAAGAAGTCTTATAAAGTTGGAAGATGTCAACCTCTTGATGAAATGAGTGTAAAAACCGGTGTGCTCATCGAGGATACGATTACGTTTGCTTTGCCTACGCTTGAATTCTTTTACCCTATTGTAAGATTAATAGCGTCACAAACTGATGGTCCCAGAATTATTAAATGTGTCATTGTTAATTCACCACAGTGGTTTTTGGCTTGTGGGCAGGTATCTGCATACTGTAATCCCTTCTCTGCCTTTTTTGACTAGGTTCTAAAAGCGGCAACATTTGAACTCACTTGACCAGACAATGGCGCATGTACTTACATTGGCATAAAACTCGTCGTTTTCGGCAGACAAGACCACCTCCCGGAGATCTTTGCTGATGCCTGGAACGCGTGAGAGATCGATCCGGTTGTTGTTAATCCCTAGCAGCTCGTGAACCATGGCCTGGTATGTCCACTGAAAGGGAGAAAGGAAGAGAAGCGGCCAGGGGTCATTTCGTAGAAAAAGAGGTGCAGGAGCTCATTAGCATAACTCATTTGCATAGGCCACACCCCCTGACATCACCAGAAGTGTGTCAGAAGGCAACACCCACTGCTCAGGCTCCACTGGACTGTTTTGGATTGCTAGCTATTGGGGGGGGGGGGGGCAGATCTCGCAGAGGAGGGAGAGCTTGTACCTGAATAAAACTTGGTCTTAAAGGTGCCACTGGACTGTTTTGGATTGCTAGCTATGGGGGAGGGGGGGCTCTGCAGCTTACCTGGCTGCTTCTTGCTCTGACTGAGGGCTGCTGGGAGCAGGGGGTGGGGCTTGTTGCATGTGCCCGCCCCCTGGGCTCTTTACTGCCGGAGCTCCGCTCCTGTGCACTCCTGCAGGAAATGACCCCTGCCTTTAAGACCGACAAAGGTTTGTTCAATGTACGAGCTTTCGTGTATGCCACTGGACTCTGATTCAGAGGGAATGCCCTTTCCAGAGCCGAAGGTCCCTTCCTCAGATAGTCTCGAACGCTCCTGCCTCAAAAATCTCACTGGCCTCTAAGACGCTGCTGGCCTTGACTGTAGCAGTCTTGTTGCCACCCTCCAAAACATTTCTACTCTCGGTTATACTTGCTCCATTGGATAAGTAAAATGTTCCTTGGAATATAGATTCAGATGGGGTAGTCTTGTGTTGGTCTGAAGGAACAGAACTGAGTTTGAGTCCAGGGGCACCTTGAAGATCAACAAAGTTTCATTCTGGGTATAAACTTTCATGTGCACGCACATGTCGTCTCACAGAGTTGGAAGGAACCTCCAGGGTCATCTATTCCAACCCCCTGCACAATGCATGCACTCAAAAGCTTGCACCCAGAATAAAACTTGGTTGGTCTTAAAGGTGCCGCTGGACCCAAACTGTGTTCTAAAGTTTTTTTCTGCACACAAAAGCTTACCCCCAGATTTAAACTTTCTTGGTCTTAAAGGTGCCCCCCTGGACTCAAACTTTATTCTGTTCCTCGGGACGGTGCACGACACCCAAAGAACCATGCAGCTAGTTTTATACGCACGCCCAAGGGAGTGCAGGATTTCTCTCTTGCTAACCGCAGTCAACTACCAAGCCACAACATTTCAAAACCAGCTTGAGAAACAGCACAGGCACCTGCTGTTCAAATAAAAAGAAAAGGGAAATCCAATCAGGTGTAACCAAACCTTTGGCCCAATCCTCAACATCCCTGGATCCTAGCGTTTCTTTTGGGTGAGAGCCTTGATACACGCGTGCAGAATGAGATCGGAAAAAAATAGTAAGAAGAAGAAGAAGAGATTGGATTTATACCCCGCGCTTTACTACCCAAAGGTGTCTCAGAGCGGCTTTCAAACTCCTTTCCCTTCCTCTCCCCACAACAGACACCCTGTGAGGTGGGTGGGGCTGAGAGAGCTCTTGACAGAAACTGCTCTTTTTCAAGGACAGCTGTGCCAGAGCTTGTGACTCACCCAAGGTCACCCAGCTGGCTGCATGCGAAGGAGTGGGGAATCAAACCCGGTTCTCCCAGATTAGAGTCTGCGCACTTAACCACTGCACCAAACTGCAGACTGCAGGTAGAGGAGCACATTTGGGAATCCCCCCCCCCCAAAATGATCCAGACAGACAAAAGGAAATGCTTCTTAACACAGCGAGTGGTTAAAATGTGGAATTCGCTGACAGAGGATGCCCTGAGGGCCACAGGCATGGATGGCTTTAAAAGGGAATTAGATCTATGGAGGAGAGGTCTTCTTAATTTACCAGTGCACCACATATAAACACACTGTGGGTGAAGGAACCACTGTATGCCCTGTGATTATACCATCTCTCATTCACAACACGAGAACTCGTGGGCACTCAATGAAATTGCTGAGCAGTCGGGTTAGAACGGATAAAAGGAAGTACTTCTTCACCCAAAGAGTGATTAACACGTGGAATTCACTGCCACAGGAGATGGCGATGGCTACAAGCACGGAAGGCTTCCAGAGGGAATTAGATAAACATGTGGCGCAGAGGTCCATCAGTGGTTCTTAGCCACAAGGTATAGATAGGAACTCACGGTCTGGGGCAAGAGATGCTCTGTCTTCTTGGTGCTTGGGGGGGGGGCAACAGTGGGAGGGCTTCTGGATTTCTGGCCCCACTGCTGGACTCCCAGAAGGCACCTGGTGTTTTTGGCCACTGTGTGACACAGAGTGTTGGACTGGGTGGGCCATTGGCCTGATCCAACATTGGCTTCTCTTATCTCCTTATGTTAAGAGCAGAGGTCCATCAATGGCTATTAGCCAGAAGGTATGGACAGGACCTCTCGGTCTGGGGCAGGTGATGCTCTGTCTTCTTGGTGCTTGGGGGTGGGGAGGCAAGAGTGGGAGGGCTTCTAGTGTCCTGGCCCCCCTGCTGGACCTCCAGATGGCACCTGATATTTTTGGCCACTGTGTGACACAGAGTGTTGGACTGGATGGGCCATTGCCCTGATCCCACATTGGCTTCTCTTATGTTCTTATAGATAGGAACTCTCGGTCTGGGGCAGGTGATGCTCTGTCTTCTTGGTGCTGGGGGGGAGCAACAGTGGGAGGGGCTCCTAGTGTCCTGGCCCCACTGGTGGACCTCCTGATGGTCCCTGGTATTTTTGGCCACTGTGTGACACAGAGTGTTGGACTGGATGGGCCATTGGCCTGATCCAACACTGGCTTCTCTTATGTTCTTATAGATAGGAACTCTCGGTCTGGGGCAGGTGATGCTCTGTCTTCTTGGTGCTGGGGGGGAGCAACAGTGGGAGGGGCTCCTAGTGTCCTGGCCCCACTGGTGGACCTCCTGATGGTCCCTGGTATTTTTGGCCACTGTGTGACACAGAGTGTTGGACTGGATGGGCCATTGGCCTGATCCAACACTGGCTTCTCTTATGTTCTTATGTTAAGAGCAGAGGTCCATCAGTGGCTCTTAGCCACAAGGTATAGATAGGAACTCTCGGTCTGGGGCAGGTGATGCTCTGTCTTCTTGGTGCTGGGGGGGAGCAACAGTGGGAGGGGCTCCTAGTGTCCTGGCCCCACTGGTGGACCTCCTGATGGTCCCTGGTATTTTTGGCCACTGTGTGACACAGAGTGTTGGACTGGATGGGCCATTGGCCTGATCCAACACTGGCTTCTCTTATGTTCTTATGTTCATTCCCTTTGGTGTGGCTACAAAGATCAGGAGCCGGACGTAAAACGCCCACAGATTATATTTTGGAATGCCCCCACAACACCTTACATGGCTAACTATGATACAGATTCCTTCATATAGTGTACACGGTTCCATGAGACTGCCTTATACTGAATCAGAACCTTGGTATTTCAAAGGCAGTATTGCCCACTCAGACTGGGAGGGGCTCTCCAGGGACTCAGGCAGAGAGAGGTCTTTCCCATCACCTCCCGCCTGGTCCTTATAACTGGAGTTGCCGGGGACTGAACCTGGAACCTTCTGCATGCCAAGCAGAGGCTCTTCCACTGAGCCACAGCCCCTCTTGACAGCTCTCCAGGGTCTCAGGCTGAGGTCTTTCCCATCACCTCCTGCCTGGTCCTTTTTAACTGGAGATGCCGGGGATTGAACCTGGGACCTCCTGCATGCCAAGCAGAGGCTCTCCCACTGAGCCACAGCCCCTCTTTACAGCTCTCCAGAGTCTCAGGTGGAGGTCTTTCCCATCACCCCCTGCCTGGTCCTTTTAACTGGAGATGCCGGGGATTGAACCTGGGGCCTTCTGCAGGCCAAGCAGAAGCTCTCCCACTGAGCCACAGCCCCTCTTTACAGCTCTCCAGGGTCTCAGGCAGAGGTCTTTCCCATCACCTCCTGCCTGGTCCTTTTCACTGGAGATGCCGGGGATTGAACCTGGGACCTCCTGCATGCCAAGCAGAGGCTCTGCCACTGAGCCACGACCTCTCGTAAGCTTTTAGGGGCACAGACCTGTTTTTTCAGCTTGCAAAGACACTGAAACATGACACTGCCCAAATAATAAACTATCACCACATGACGTTGGCCCGCCCCTGAGCACGAATGCGAGTCCTGCCAGTGCCACAAAGACCTCCCTTCCGGCCCTCGGATGCCCTAAGACGGGTGAAAAGAACGCTTGCCTGGTTCAGGAGCGGTGTGATGGCGTCATCCGAACGGTCCAGGAGAAGCAGCAGCGGAGGGACTTCGGTACGCCGGAAGTCGAAGAGTTCGTACTCCTTTGTGATCATTTGCTGTTTGGGGAAGGGAGAATTGATTTTGCTTTCTCAGCCACCTTGACGTCAGATTGGAAAATGTGCTCTGCCCTCTAAGGGCCTGGGTCAGAAACCCTGAAACCTCACTCCCGGCCCCACTGCTGGACCTCCTGAGGGCACCACCTGGTATTCTTGGCCACTGTGTGACACAGAGTGTTGGACTGGGTGGGCCACTGGCCTGACCCAACATTGGCTTCTCTTATGTTCTTATGTTAAGTCTCGAGAAGGCTGGGGGTTACATAAGAACAGGCGTCCTCCCAACCATTTTGGGTCTGTGGACACCTTCAGAATTCTCACATGTGTGTGTGTGTGGGGGGGTGCAAACACAAAATGGCTGCCGCTGGGCCAGCCACAAAATGGCTGCCACGGCTTCCCTTCAGTCACACAGCGAAGCTCCTTGTGCTTTGGGGGCAGCTCCTGCCAGAGCAATGTTTTTAGAAATCGGCACAGCCAATCAAGTCTCCAGTGGCCAATCAGAAGCCCTGCAGGACAAAAGCCACACTAGGCCCCGCCCACTTTCTAAAACCGGCCGGCTCCAGGAAGGATGTCGGCAGGCACTGGGGCGCCCACAAGTGCCATGTTGGGCACCCCTGCACTAGAACAACCCCTTCTGCGTTGGACCATCCCGCCAGACTTAATCCCTTCTGGACAAAGGACAATCTGGTTTGGATCAGACCACCGACATGTCATGGAAGTTCAAAGCCAGGTGCCTGAGGGGCTGGGACCACCATTTTTGCCCATTTCTGACTGGTAACAGGAGCCTCGGACACCAGACTTGGAGATTTGCCTGGGACCAGCGAAATCAGCTTGTCACTGATTCCCATTCCACTGACCATAAACGTCACGTTCGGGACCTTTGGGATTCCCCTTTGTCTTCAGTCTTTCCAAGGAACCTTTGGTCTAAGGGACTTTCTTAGCCAAGAATGGCACTTACCCCTTTCCTTCCATAACAGGGCCATGTTGTTCTTGTTTAGAGGTGTACACACAAAAAAAAAAATCAGAATTTTTTGGGTTCAGATCTACCAAACTCGAAAAATTTCAGTATCTGCCGATATTCCTGAATCCCAGTATAGGAATGATACTGGAGTTCGGAAATTATCCAACTAGCCGAATTTATTCGGCTCAATTATACCCTATGGGGACTGTCCCCATAGGGTATAATAATCCCCCCCTTGAAGGGGGGGTTTCCCATCACTGAAGGGAAGGCAAATTGCCTTCCTTTCAGTGCAGGCAGCATGCCACCTCTGCGGCGCAACTCCAGAGAGGTTTAAAGTTTAAATCCCCCCTTCCCTTCAGTGATGGGAGCCAGCTCCCCCCCCCCCAGTTAGCCCCCCCCCTTCTCTGGCCTGCCCGCCAAAGTGGGCGAGCTGGGGAAAGCCTGGAGTCAGCATCCACTGCCTTCCCTGGCCCTCCCGCCAAGGCAGGTGAGCTGGGGAAGGCCCTAGAAGGAGCAGGAAGGCATTTAAATGCCTCCCCATGCCTTCCCGGGCCCGCCTTCTGAAGTGGGTGAGCCAGGGAAGGCCTGGAGTGAGCCCCCCTGCTTTCCTTGGCCTGCCCGCCGCGTGTTGGGAAGGCCTGGAAAGAGGCCCACCGGCCAAAGAGGGGCTCATGCTGCCTTCGCGGCACGACTCCCCAGCAAGGGACGGTATTGGCCGGGGAATCCCTTGCCCCTGTTCAGCCAGCCGAATCAGATTAGAGAATCTGATTCGGCTTTCAGCAGGCCCGAATAATGCCAAATAGGCATTATTCGTTTTGTTTGTTCGTCCGAACCGAATACGCATCCCTATTCTTGTTCCTTTAAAAGGAGGAATCAGCATTTATTCAGAGTCTCAGAGCGGCTTACAATCTCCTTCCCTTCCTCTCCCCAAAACAGACACCCCGGAAGGTGGGTGGGACTGAGGGAGTTCTGAGAGAAACTGCTCTTGAGAGAACAGCTCCGAGAGAACGTTGACTGGCAAAGAGAGCCACCTCTGAGCCGGGAAGGCCCCTGACCAAACCTCACCTCGGCCAGTCCCGCGGCAGCCACCATCTCCCTCAGCCTCCCCCTTTGGAAGACGAACAGAGCTGGCCCCCCTGACAAAGTTGCCAAGGGCCGGACTGAGGAAATGGACCCGCGCGAGCTTTGAACACGTGGAATCTGCTGCTACGTTAAACATGATTCTTCCTGAGACGGAAGAGGCTGTCCGTCTGGAGAACCGAGCCACACCTTGACACATTCCCCAAGCCTCTTGGCCGCGTCGGAAGAGAGCTGGTAGCGGATCATGGGGCACTTCTTCAGAGACAGCAGCAGGGCCGTCAGACCTTGGGTGGCCCGGGACAACTGGGCAGGATCCCAGCTGTGACCCTAGGAGAAAAGATGAGCGAGACTGTAGGAAAGTGACGGCTACAAGGCACCAGCTTAACAGCACCGGGGCAGTCCGGGGTACTTTCCAGCGAGAAGCCCGTCAGTAACAGGCCTGGGGAACGGCCTTGCCCTGAGGAGAGCTCCCACCACTCAGGCAGACGGTACTAAGCTAGATCAGAGGAGAAGAGAAGAGATTGGATTGATACCCCTGGCCCTTCACTTGGAGTCTCAGAGCGGCTTACGATCTCCTCTCCCTTCCCCTCCCCGCAACAGACATCCTGTGAGGCAGGTGGGGCTGAGAGCTCTGACAGAAACTGCTCTTTTTCAAGGACAGCTCTTGTTAGAACTACGGCTTGCCCAAGGTTATCCAGCCAGGTGCAAGTGGAGGAGTGGGGGAATCAAACCCGGTTCTCCCAGATTAGAGTCCGCGCACTTAACCACAACACCAACTGGCTCTCCTGCTTTAGAGCAAGGGAAAGAAGAAGAAGAGAAGAGATTAGATTTATACCCTGCTCTTCACTCGGAGTCTCAGAGCAGCTTACAAACTCCTTTCCCTTCCCCTCCCCACAACAGACACCCTGTGAGGCAGGTCGGGCTGAGAGAGCTCTGACGGAAACGGCTCTTTTTCAAGGACAGCTCTGACAGAACTGTGGTTTGCCCAAGGTCATCCAGCAGCTGCAAGTGGAGGAGAGGGGAATCAAACCTGGCTCTCCCAGATTAGAGTCCGCGCACTTAACCACTACACCAAACTGGCTCTCCTGCTTTAGAGCAAGGGGAAGGAGGAGGAGGAGGAGGAGGAGGAGGAGACACCCTGTGAGGTAGGCAGGGCTGAGAGAGCTCTGACAGAACTGCCCTTGAGAGAACAGCTCTGGGAGAACTTGTGACTGACCCAAGGTCATCCAGCAGCTACGAGTGGAGGCATGGGGAATCAAACCCGGTTCTCCCAGATTAGAGTCCGTGCACTTAACCGCTACACCAAACTGGCTCTATTGGCTCACGTACCCAGCGATGGATGGGTTTTCAAACGTCAATGTTTGGCAGCCACAGAAGCGGAAGATGGCAGAACACCACAGCGTGGCTTCCGACCACCCATTCACCTTTCAGCCAGACACGCAAAGGAGCTCATATGGCCCAGGAAACTGGAGCCGAAGGAAGCGTCCTGTCCTCCCGCTCCCCGTACCTGGCAGGAGCCCAAGATGTTGAGGGAAAACACGTGTGGATTCACGGCAATGAAATCTCCGTAGAATTCCTGTCAAACAAAACCAAGTCAGGGTCTGAGGTCCTGGCGATGCAGTCGCAGTCACTGGGCAGGGGGTTCACACACTAAGTGGATATCAGTGTTCCCTCTAAGCTGAGTTAGTGTGAGCTAGCTTACAGTTATTTAGCCTCTGGCTCACAGATTTTTTTTCTCAGCTCAGGGACGATGGGGCTCCAGAGCACACTGATTTAATGCAGCAGCCAAATTGCTCACTCAGAGCTTTAATGCCACTAGCTCACAAAGTAGAGTTTTTGCTCACAAGACTCCACAGCTTAGAGGGAACATTGGTGGATATCAGTGGGAAGACTGGGGAAGCCACAAGCGAGACAGCTTTGGCCTGGCCGTGAGGGAGATGGAGGAGAAGAGGAGAAGAAGAGATTGGATTTATACCCTGCCCTTCATTCAGAGTCTCAAGAGTGGCTTACAATCCCCTTCCCCTCCCCACAACAGACACCCTGTGAGGTAGGTGGGGCTGAGAGAGCTCTTTTGAGGACTGCCCTTGAAAGAACAGCTCAGCCAGCAACTGCAAGTGGAAGAGTGGGGAATCAAACCCGGTTCTCCCAGATTAGAATCCACCACTCTAACCGCTACATCAAACTGGCTACTCTTTCTCCTCTGGAGAGCAGGAAGATCTGTGTCTTTGGCCTCAGGCAGAATGAGAGACAGTCACGGTCATGGTCGCCATAGCATTGCGCTTTGTCCAGAGAGGCCTAGCAGAGTCACCCTTTTGCTCAGTGGTGGGGCTACTGGATGGCCTGGGACATGTGCCGGTCCACTGCCTGCCTTGTTGCTCAGTCAGTGAAATGCAAATAAGCAGGGGGACCAGGGGACCTGAAGGTCTGTCTTCCCCCACACTTTCCTCCCCTGGAATTAAGATCACAGGGAGAGCCCCCCCCCCCCCCCATGACTGTTTCAGAAATGAAAGAAGTTTGTCTCGTGGGCACAGGAGACGGGGCCTTTTCAGTAGCAGCTCCACAATTGCGGAGCAACTTTTCCAGGGGAGGTGCGGCTGGCCCCCTCACTTTCGATTTTCAGGACATAGTTGAAGACAAGTTTTATGTAGGATTCCATTTGACTAATTTGGTTCTTCTTATTTACCGGCAGTCCTAACCAGTGTTCCCTCTAAGCTGAGTGAGTGTGAGCCAGCTCACAGTTGTTTAGCCTCCGGCTCACAGATTTTTGTCCTGGCTCAGGAAGGGATGGCTCCCGAGCAGACTAATTTATGCAGTGGCCAAATCGCTCGCTCACAACTTTTATGCCAGGAGATCACAAAGTAGAAGTTTTGCTCACAAGACTCCACACCTTAGAGGGAGCATCAGTCCTAACTGGAGATTTGAATTGTGGTCTTTAGGGTGTTTCTATATTCATTGTCTGATTTACACTTTCAGCTGCCCCTGAGTCCCGCCAGGTAGAAAGGCAGCTAAGAAATGTTTCAAATGAAATAATATATCATAAATAAATACTAGAGGCAGCCCCCCCCCCCTCAGGATTTTCACAGGAACGAAGCCAGTTCCTCTAAAGCAGACTTCTCGCTCGCATGGTTGATCTGGCACTCACAGGGAATGGAGGCTGCTGGGTAATCAGGAAAGGCAGCGGCTCAAGCTTATGGCTCTGCTGCCCGCCTCGCCCAGAGGAATCTACAGAGACCAAACCCCGCGCCTAGGGCTGCCAAGTGGGGGCGGGTGGCAGGTAAACCCCCACTTTGGAGGCCCGATCTCCCCCACCGTGGAATCGGGCCCCGGGGGGAACTCTGTCCCCCGAAGCGCAGCGTGGCTGCGTCACCACGTTGATCATGTTGGGGGCGTGGCCCTGATCGTCGGAGGGAAAACTCTATGGTCCTTTTAACTGGAGATGCCGGGGACTGAACCTGGGACCCTTGCATGCCAAGCAGATGCTCTTCCACTGAGCCACGGCCCCTCTTTACATCTCTCCAGGGTCTCAGGCGGAGGTCTTTCCCATCACCTCCTGCCTGGCTGGTCCTTTGTAACTGGGGGTGCCGGGGACTGAACCTGGGGCCTTCTGCATGCCAAGCAGGGGCTCTGCCACTGAGCCACGGCCCCTCCCTCTTCTTGACTGATTGCCACGTTTTGACCGTCCTTCCCTCGCCAGGCAGCATTTTGCACAAAACGAAGGCCAAAGAAAGGACAGCGAACGCACTGAGCTAGCAGCCCTCTGTGGCAAAACTCTTCTCACTCTTTGCTAAAAAACGAACAACTTAAAACTGTGCGGTGATACTGCATGATGTAAAATGCTCCCACAGGGGCCAAGGATCTTTAACACAAGACCGGCGCAGGCCGTCTCTGAACCAGACTGCAAAGCCAAGCGAGGCTAGCCAGTTAAACGCGAGAGCCCGTCCCAGCTTGAAGCAGCTTCAGGCGATCGGCTGTTCAAAAGGTTCACAGAATCATGGAATGTTAGAGTTGGAAGGGACCTTTCAGGTCATCTAGTCACAATCAGTGTTCCCTCTAAGCTGAGTCAGTGCGAGTCAGCTCACAGTGTTTTAGCCTCTGGCTCACACATTTTTGTCTTAGCTCAGGAAGGATGGCTCCAGAGCAAACTGGTTTATGTAGCAGCCAAATCGCTCGCTCACAACTTTAATGCCAGGAGCTCACAACGAAGAATTTTTGCTCACAAGACTCCACAGCATAGAGGGAACATTGGTCACAATGCCCGGAATCCAAAAAGCTATTTTAGACTCACACAGGGAGGTTTTCCTTGACCCCCTTTTCGGATCCTTGGCTGGGAGACAGTCGCGCCAAACCCCACGCATCTTTTGACACCCCTCCCTGCATTTTCACAGGGGCATGCTCTGTAGCAGAGGGAACCAAGAGTCCCAGAAAAAGGCCAGGACCAGTGTTCCCTCTAAGCTGAGTTAGTGTGAACTAGCTCACTGTTTTTTAGCCTCCAGCTCACAGATTTTTGTCTCGGCTCAGGAAGAGATGGCTCCAGAGCAAACTGATTTATGCAGCAGCCAAATCGCTCTCTCACCACTTTAATGCCAGCAGCTCACAAAGTAGAATTTTTGCTCCCAAGACTCCACAGCTTAGAGGGAGGCATTGGCCAGGACGCTCTGGGACACCTTGCTCTTTGGAGTCACATACCTGGACTTCAGCGACCACTTCCTGCTCGTCCGCCTCGGCCAGCGACTTGATGTCACTCTTGCTGATCACGTTGCTGAAATCTGAAACGAGGCAGCACAGCGGCAGCCAATGGGCAAGCGAATTCACAGAGCAGTGTGTCGAAGAAGAGGAGGAGGAGATTGGATTTATACCCCGCCCTTCACTACCCGGAGGAGTCTCAGAGGGGCTTACCATCTCCATTCCCTTCCCCTCCCCACAACAGACACCCTGTGAGGTAGGTGGGGCTGAGAGAGCTCTCTCTCGAGGACTGCTCCTGAGAGAACAGTTCTGGGAGAACCTGTGACTGACCCAAGGTCACACCAGTAGCTGCATGTGGAGGAGAAGTGGGGAATCAAACCCGGTTCTCCCAGATTAGAGTCCGCACTCCTAATCACTACGCCAAACCAGCTCTCAAAAGGCTTTCAAGTTTCCTTACGGGTAGGGCAACATGTTGGCTAGAGACAAAAACCACAAAATGCTAAGTCGCTAGCCCTCCCAGGTCTAAGACGAAAAAGTTAGCCCTGCGAGGTAGAACACCTGGAAGGCAAGTTCCAAAAAACAAGTTATTCCGGTAGCTGTAGCCAATCAGGGCTAAAGTACTGGATTCAGACTGAAGCCCCCAATCCCAAGAATGCCACAAAGTATAATTACTAAGGCCCAATCACACCTCATGTAAAAATTCCAAAATCATATATACACAAGGGCCAATGGACTTGGATTTGCCTATCAGAAATCTAACAATCTGAGAGATATCTTAGTAAGAAGCAGCTTAAAAATCTTCTCCAGCAATACAAAGGGGAGTAGATGGGCAAAATTTACCAACTGGCAACTTTCCTTGTGGAAAAGGTGTGATCTGTGATTTGATGTTATGTACAAACTTTTGCTATGATTCAGCCAAGGCAGAAAAAGTATTGTATTAAATCATTTTTCATAAACCTTTGTTAGAATTCTAATGGTGTCCGAGGGCTCGAATAGGTTGGGGATAGTGTTCCCTCTAAGCTGAGTTAGTGTGAGCTAGCTCACAGTTTTTTAGCCTCCGGCTCACACATTTTTTTCTTAGCTCAGGAAGGAGGGCTCCAGAGCCAACTAATTTATGCAGCAGCCAAACCCCTCACTCGCAACTTTAATGCCCAGTAGCTCACAAAGAAGAATTTTTGCTCACAAGACTCCACAGCTTAGAGGGTGCATTGGTTGGGGACCCCTTTGTCTATGGCCTGGAATATTCTTTTTTGCCTCTCAATCACGCCTGTTACCGGAGCCATCTTCCCACTGTTATCTCTGCCTTTGTTGTTGTTCAGTCGCAGTTGAGTCCGACTCTTCGCAACCCCATGGACCACATCACGCCAGGCCCTCCTGTCTTCCGTCGTCCTCCGGAGTTTGCTTAATTTCATGTTCGTTGCATCGATGACACTGTCCAACCATCTCAACCTCTGCCGCCCCCTTCTTCTTCTTTGACCTTCAGTCTTTCCCAGCATCAGGGTCTTCTCCAGTGAGGGCTCTCTTCTCATTTGGTGGCCAAAGGATTTGAGCTTCAGTTTCTTTATCTGGCCTTCCAGGGAACAGTCAGGGTTGATTTCCTTTAGGATTGACTGATTCGATCTCCTGGCAGTCCAAGGGACTCTCAAGAGTCTTCTCCAGCACCATAATTCAAAAGAATCTATTCTTCAGCACTCGGCCTTCCTTATAGTCCAGCTCTCGCAGCCACACATTACTCCTGGAAATACCATTGCTTTGACCTTACAGACCTTTTCTCGATCCGAATCTAAGGCAAACCATTCAACATCACGGTAATCTCTGCCTTGGTGACGGCCAAAGTAGCCAGTTTGGTGTAGTGGTGATGTGCGCGGACTCTAATCTGGGAGAACCGGGTTTGATTCCCCACTCCTCCGCTTGCACCTGGCTGGATGACCTTGGGCAAGCCACAGTTCTGATAAGAGCTGTCCTTGAAAAAGAGCCGTTTCTGTCAAGAGCTCTCTCTCAGCCCCCCCCCCCCCGCCTACCTCACCGGGTGTCTGTTGTGGGGTGGGAGAAGGAAAAGGAGTTTGTGAGCCGCTCTGAGACACCTTCGGGTAGCGAAGGGCAGGGTAGAAATCCAATCTCTTCTTCTCTTCTGTCATGAGCTGTGATTGCAGCCCCAACAGCCCGGCTGAGACTGCGCTCGTCAGAGACGGGGAGCTTAGCAGGGTCGGCCACGGTCAGTGCCAAGGAAGACTGGCGTTGCTAGGCAGTGGCACACCCCCTCTGCTCGTCTTGTGGCTGGAACGCCCCAAGTCACCATGAGTCCAGTTGCGACTAATTCGTCTTTAATATCATAATGCCCCTATATAAATCAATGGTGCGACCTCATTTGGAATACTGTGAGCAGTTCTGGTCACCACACCTTAAAAAGGATATTATAGCTTTGGGAAAAGTGCAGAAAAGGGCAACTCGAATGATAAAAGTGTTGGAACACTTTCCCTATGAGGAAAGGTTAAGGCGCTTAGGGCTCTTTAGTTTGGAGAAACGACAACTGAGGGGTGACATGATCGAGGTTTATAAGATGATGAATGGGAAAGGGCAGGTAGAGAAAGAGGTACTTTTCTCCCTTTCTCACAATACAAGAACTCGTGGGCACTCCATGAAATTGCTGAGCGGTCGGGTTAGAACGGATAAAAGGAAGTCCTTCTTCACCCAAAGAGTGATTAACACATGGAACTCACTGCCACAGGAAGTGGTGGCGGCTACAAGCATGGACGGCTTCAAAAGGGAATTAGATAAGCGTATGGAGCAGAGGTCCATCAGTGGCTATTAGCCACAAGGTATAGATAGGGACTCTGGGGCAAGTGATGCTCTGTCTTCTTGGTGCTTGGGGGGGGGGGGGTCAACAGTGGGATGGCTTCTAATGTCCTGGCCCCACTGGTGGACCTCCTGATGGCACTGGTATTTCTGGCCACTGTGTGACACAGAGTGTTGGATGGGATGGGCCTTTGGCCTGATCCAACATTGGCGTCTCTTATGTTCTTATGTTCTTAATCAGCAGGATTGCCCTCAAAGACTGCTCACAAACCTTGATTAGCTGAAAATCCTGCCATGCAACTACTGACTCGGGCAAGCGGGCAGGATCACCTTAGGTGTGTTTTACAACAACTTCACCAGGCGCTGCACATATAAATCTTCTACTGGGGTTCTGCTTAGAACACCATTATTCACGGATGCAAACCTCCGAGGAATAGTTCTCTCTTTGCTTGTGACGCCATCATGATCTCAGAGGGTCTGTGGAGCCTCAACGCTTCTCTTCTTCCCAGGAATGAGGGGTTTGGGAATGTCCAGTCTGGAGGTGGAGGGGGGACAGGATGGCTTTCTTGAAGTATCTGATGGGCTGTCCCTTGGAGGAGGGAAGGGAGCTGCTCCTGCACTGACTTATTAACTACTTGTTAACTGAAATAATAGAAAAAGTAGCCCTACTTTTTAAGTTTGGTAATCAAGGACCGATTGAAAATGGTTTACCTGCTTATATTTAAATTATCCTTGTTACTTCTATATGTGCTTACTGTTTGTATGGATAACTTGATATATGCCAATAAAGGCTTTTTGTGTTCTGTTGATTACTACGACTCTTATGTGGCCGGTGCTGCTGCTTGGCTTAATTTCTCAACTGATAGTTTTGGGGGTTTAGCCTGTTGATTTTTAAATGTTTTTATGGGTTTAACGGACTGCACTGCGTTGCATGTGCCTCTTTGATTTTTTTTAAAGAATATTAAAACCAATAGAAGCTTTGGTACATAAACAAAAGAAGAAGAGGAGGAGGAGGAGGAGGATGATATTGGATTTTTACCCCACCCTTCAATCGGAGTTTCAGAACAGCTTACAAACTCCTTTCCCTTCCCCTCCCCACAACAGACACCCCGTGAGGCAGGTGGGGCTGAGGGAGCTCTTTCAAGGACTGCTCTTGAGAGAACAGCTCTTGTCAGAACTACAGCTTGCCCAAGGTCATCCAGCAGCTGCATGTGGAGGAGTGGGGAATCAAACCTGGTTCTCCCAGATTAGAGTCTGCGCACTTAACCACGACATCAAAGTGGCTCTCAGCACTGCCTACTTGTCAGGGATACTAGAGTTGTAGTTCCTGCATTGGCAGAAGCTAGACTAGTTGACCTTTGGGGTCATTTACATCTCTGAGATTAAATAAATTAATTAAGGAGCGGGACTGTAGAGATGGCAGGCATTACAAATCATTATTCACTGCAGAACTTCCAATCATTTTAGCCAAACAAACTTGTGAAATGCCATATTGCAGATAATCTCCTTTTCTCTCTTTTGTCTTTCCCCCCTTAATCTCCATAAAGGTCTTTGGGAATCCCTGCATTGCTAAACTCTCCTTTCAAACGCGCTCCAAGAAGCAGGAAGCAGAAGACACACAGGCAAACAACCTGTTCCTCTCTCGATGCATTTCCATGGGGTAATCATGACATCTAGAGGCCGGTCTCGGCTCACTCATGCTATACAGACAACGCCGATCCTTGACAAAAACCAACAGGCCAAAACCTAGAAACTTAAGAAGTGTGGCCAGAAATTTGACACCAGAATAATTTGAAGAATTAGTAGGGCTACTCTGTATGGCCATTGTGTGACACAGAGTGTTGGACTGGATGGGCCACTGGCCTGATTCAACATGGGCCTCTCTTAGGTTCTTAAGAATAAGAAGAGGAGGAGGAGGAGGAGGAGGAGATTGGATTCATACCCTGCCCTTCATTCAGAGTCTCAGAGCAGCTTACAAACTCCTTTCCCTTCCCCTCCCCACAACAGACACCCTGTGAGGGAGGTGGGGCTGCGAGAGCTCTTGACAGAAACTGCCCTTTCAAGGACAGCTCTTGTCAGAACTACGGCTTGCCCAAGGTCATCCAGCAGATGCAAGTGGAGGAGGAGTGGGGAATCAAACCCGGTTCTCCCAGATTAGAGTCCGTGCACTTCAGCACTGCACCAAACTTAGTTTATATAAAGAAGGAGAAAGAGAGAGATACAGATTTATGGTGACGCCTGTGGGGTTTTCAAGGCAAGAGACTTCAGAGGCAATTTGCCATTCCCGGCCTCCGCGTCGCAGCCCCGGTATTCCACGGTGATCTCTTGTCCAAGAACTTAGCCAGGGCTGACCTCGCTTCGCTTCCAAAATCTGACAAGATGGGGGGCTTGCCCTCCAGGTCAGGCCTAATCATCCATTAGGGAGCTGTACTTATACTCAAAGCTGCGGACGAGTGGAGGGAGGGACGTGTTGTGAAGTGAGGCTGATTTAAAACTAAATCCACCAATCCCTTCAGAGCAGATGGTCCTCGTCCACCTTGCGTGAACTCTGCAGTCTGCGGGCTGGACATCTGTCGAAAAGTGGCCTCATTTCTTCACCTCCGCTCCCCTCCACACAATCCTTCTGTTGGGGGCAGAATTCAGTAGGAACAGGTCTGCCTAACAGGTGTGCGCACTTCAGTCCTCTGACGAAGTCAGCCCTGACTCACAAGAAGGTGATGCTGGAATAAGGACTGGTTGTCTTTTAGGTGCCATCGGACGCCTGGTTTCACATCACTACTGCTGACTAACACGGCTGCTCATCTAGTACTGAACCCCACTGCCATGACACATGCAAACCAAACAAGGCCAGGGTTCTGTCTCCCCTCCTTCTCAGCCTACAAATCTGAACTCGCTTTGAGATACCGAGGCCAAACATTTGCTCCAGAGCCAGAAAATCACTTTATTCTGCCCTTCCAGGGACCTAATCAAAACAACCAGCAATTGGAAAAAAAGATTGTGGCTATGAAATATCCAATTCAATGAAGTCCCTTAAAAAGGAGGAGGAGGAGGAAGAGATTGGATTCATACCCCGCCCTTCACCACCCAAGGGAGTCTCAGAGCGCCTTACAAACTCCTTTCCCTTCCCCTCCCCACAACAGACACCCTGTGAGGTCGGAGGGGCTGAGAGAGCTCTTGGCAGAAACTGCTCTTTTCCAAGGACAGCTCTTATCAGAACTATGGCTTGCCCAAGGTCATCCAGCAGCTGCAAGTGGAGGAGTGGGGAATCAAACCCGGTTCTCCCAGATTAGAGTCCGCGCACTTAACCACTGCACCGAACTGGCTAATTTGGCCGTCACCAAGGCAGAGATTACCATGATGTTGAATGTTTTGCCTTGGATTCGGACTGAGAAAAGGTCTGTAAGGTCAAAGCAATGGTATTTCCAGTAGTAATGTGTGGCTCACTTTGAGATACCGAGGCCAAAAATTTGCTCCTGAGCCAGAAAATTACTTTATTCTGCCTCTCCAGGGCTTGCCCAAGGTCATCCAGCAGCTGCACGTGGAGGAGAGCGGAATCAAACCCGGTTCTCCCAGATTAGAGTCCACGCACTTAACCACGACACCAAACTGGTTCTCAAGAGTTGGATTTATACCCCACCCTTCACTACCCGAAGGAGTCTCAGAGTGGCTTACAATCTCCTTTTCCTTCCCCTCCCCACAACAGACACCCTGTGAGGTAGGTGGGGCTGAGAGAGCTCTTTCGAGGACTGCTCTTGAGAGAACAGCTCTGAGAGAACTTGTGACTGACCCAAGGTCACACCAGCAGCTGCATGTGGAAGAGTGAGGAATCAAACCTGGTTCTCCCAGATTACAGTCCACACACCTAACCACTACACCAAACTGGCTACACTACACCAAACTCCTCCTCCTGAGTAGGAAGTGAGCTCTGACTCACAAGAAAAAGACCAAAACAGATGGTGTGAATCTTCAATTCAAAGCCCAGC